TAAATGATCCAGGAAGTATTAAAAGAAGATGGAAAGAATATACTGAGTCACTGTATTGAAAAGAATTGGCAGACATAGAAGAATTTAATGAAACAGCATATGAGCAAGAGCCTATGGTGATGAACAAACAAGTTCAAGCTGCTTTGAAGGAAATAGCAAAAAATAAGGCCCCAGGAATAGATGGTATACCAGTTGACATCTTTCAGCTAACAGATGTTGCCCTGGACATGCTCACCAAGTTGTGCCAAGAAATCTGGAGAACAACCACCTGGCCAGGTGACTGGACGAGGTCTATATTTGTTCCCATCGCAAAGAAGGGTGACTCAGCAGAGTTTGTAAATGACAGAACAATATCATTAATTTCACATGTAAGCAAAATGCTACTGAAGATTATCCAAAAACGACTGGAACAGCACATCAGCAGAGAACTGCCAAAAGTCCAGGCTGAGTTTAGAAGGGGTCGTGGTACTAGGGATATTGTAGCTAATGTTAGATGGATCTTAGCTGAAAGCTGGGAATACCAGAGGAATGTATATCTGTGTTTCATTGACTATGCAAAGGCGTTTGACTGTGTAGATCATAACGAACTGTGGCTGACTCTGAGAAGAATGGGAATCCCAGAACACTTGATTGTGCTAATGCGAAACCTATACTTGGACCAAGAGGCAGTCATCAGAACGGAGCAAGGAAACACTGCATGGTTCAAAATTGGGAAGGGCGTATGCCAGGGATGTGTCCTATCTCCATACCTTTTCAACTTGATTATCTGGGAGGCTGGGCTCTATAAGGAGAAATGTGGGGTCAAGATTGGTGGAAGATCTATCAACAGTCTGCAATATGCAGATGATACAACCCTGCTTGCTGAAACTGAAAAAAAAGCTGTATGTATAGCCTCTGAAAATCCCTTGGAGAGTTAGCTATGAATCTACTTTGATTCCATAGCAATGGGTTTGAGTTTTTGAGATTTTTGTTAGGATCCCTGGTGGCACAGTAGGGTAAGCATTGCATTGCTTATTGAAAGGTTGGCAGTTTGAACCCAACAGCATGAAAAAGCCAAGGCAGTCTTACCTCTTTAAAGGTTTACAGCCTCAAGTTTTTATTAAGCTTAGATGGATATCATGGTAAAATTGCGTTTATATTTAGTAATAGAATAAATAATTGGATTTGATTATCATTTTATGAATAACGTCAGGTTACCATAAAATATTCTGTATTTTCACTTGGATTCTTAAACAGACACACAGGAATGTGTGAAATAGAAAGACGTCTCTTTTATTTTTCTCTGTACCTTTGAAGAATGGTAGTGTCTTAGTTTGGCTTTTCCACACCTGTCCAGTCACTGGATTGTGTTCCCACCCGAGCAGCTCTTCCTCTCCTCCTACACACCTGGGTGCCAGAGCACCTGCCGCTGATCCCCAGCTCTGTCCTTCACGGCCTGTGGCCTTGGGCACATTACTCTCTCTGCTGCCTCATTGTCTTCATCTGTATTGCACGTGCATACAAGGCCGCTGGAGCACTAACCAGGTTACTGCCTGTGAAGTGATTACATACGTTTCTGGCACAGTTTTTGTCTGTTTCCCAGTTTCTCTAGAGTCATCACTGACTCATAGTGACCTCATGTGGGTCAAAGTAGAACTGTGCTCCTTGAAATGTTCAGTCACTGATTTCTCAGTGGATCACTAGGCCTTTTCTTTAGATGCATCTCTAGCAGACCTTGAACCTCCAACCTTTCCATTATCAGCCTGTCATGCTAATTGTTTATATTGTAAAATCCTCTGGTTCATAAGGGGTAGTGTTTTTCATCTGCTGCTTTCGGTAAATGCTTGTTAGTCAGATATTGTTCTAAAGCTGCACATCCAAATTAAGACAGACTAGTAAGAAGGATTGGCCATCCACTTCTGAAATAACAGGGCTTTGAAAACCCTATGTACAGTAGAGCACATTTGGAGTAGACTAGCAGATAGGATACCTGAGGCCAAGCCCTCGAATTTGAAAACATGAAAGAGGAGGAACAGTTGTAAGCAGATCCTAATGTTTAGAGCGTGGAGTTTCAGACGCATCAATATAGGAAAACTAGACATCATTAAGAAAGAAATAGGATGCATAAATACTGACATACTACATATTGGAGAAATGAGATGGATTGCATGGGACATTTTGAATCAGACAATCATATGATCTACTATGCTGTGGATGAAAAGGTAAGGAAAAACAGGGTCACTTTCATAGTTGAAAGGGTCATTTCTAGATCCATCTTGAAATACAATGTTGTGAGCAACAGAATAATAGCCATATGCATTCAAGGAAGTCTAGTGAATACTGCTATCATTCAGTACATTCACCAACAACCAGAGCCAGAGGAGGAAATAGAATATTTCTACCAACTTTTGCAGTCAGAAATTAGTCAAACATGTAACCAAGATGCATTAATAATGATGGGTAACTGGAATGTGAAAGTTGGGAACCAGGACAAAAGATTAGTAATGGGAAAACATTGACTTGGTGACAGAAATGAGGCTGGGGATAAAATGGTAGAATTTTGTACAATCAGGAATCAGATGGATTATCTCTGTGTAAAGAGTCATTGGGAGAAGCCCAGGATCAGCAGTGAGAATAAGGCCAGGTGCAGAAAGTGGAACAGACCACCCAACTGCTCATATGCAAATTCAAACTAAAGAAAAGAAGGGTAAATCAAATCCACAGGAACCAAAATTTGACCTTGAGTCTATCCCATCTGAATTTCAAAACTGTCTCAGGAACAGATTTGAAGCCTTGAACACTAATGAACAAAGACCAGACGAGCTTTAGAATGATATCAAGAATATTGTCCATTAATAACACAGGAGGTTATTACAAAGACAGAGCAGGAAGAAAAGACCAAGATGGATGTCAGAAGAGACTGTGAATATTGC